TGTCTCCACATCCACTTTGTCTCCACATCCACTTAGTCTCCACGTACACTTTGTCTCCACATCCACTTAGTCTCCACATACACTTTGTCTCCTTTTCTCCACACGACTTTGTCTCCACATCCACTTAGTCTCCACATCCACTTTGTCTCCACATCCACTTAGTCTCCACATTACTTTGTCTCCTTTTCTCCACACTGACTTTGTCTCCCCATCCACTTGTCTCCACGTACACCACACGCCAGCCTCTCGGATGCTACATTGCCGTGAAGTGTTTATTTTGATCTCATCTTGTTGTTCCTGCTGTTGTTCCTGCTGTTGTTCCTGCTGTTGTTCCTGCTGTTGTTCCTGCTGTTGTTCCTGATGTTGTTCCTGCTGTTGTTCCTGCTGTTGTTCCTGCTGTTGTTCCTGCTGTTGTTCCTGCTGTTGTTCGTTGTAGAATCCTTCTTGAAGACGCCTTCCTTGTTTGTTGCGTGCTCTCCCCCCCCCCCCCCCATGTTTTCCCCATACATTTATTTGGCTCATTTCATTTTGTTTTAAGTCACAAATGTCATACATTCCAAACCCTGTAGACGAAATCTTCACCTATTAACAATTCAGCGTGTTCACCTTCTGCAGTTTCAAGTCGAACCTTATCTACTATTCAACTAAATTACATATTTTTATAATATCGAACAAAACAAATAAAAAGTCGAGAACTTTTTCTAGGTATATTTTCATATGTTTAGAACCTTTCCCTAAAGCCGTCGGAGCCAAAATGACCCGAAACACCCTCTGAATAGTTTCCCTTTACTGAAACATCACCTGACTAGTTTCCCTTTACTGAAACATCACCTGGATAGTTTCCCCTTACTGAAACATCACCTGAATAAATTCCCTTTACTGAAACATCACCTGAATAGTTTACCTTTACTGAAACATCACCTGGATAGTTTCCCTTTACTGAAACATCACCTGAATAGTTTCCCTATACTGAAACATCACCTGAATAGTTTCCCTTTACTGAAACATCACCTGGATAGTTTCCCTTTACTGAAACATCACCTGGATACTTTCCCCTTATTGAAACATCACTTGGATAGTTTCCCTTTACTGAAGCGTCACTTGGATAGTTTCCATTTACTGAAACGTCACTTGGATAGTTTCCCCTTATTGAAACATCACCTGGACAGTTTCCCCTTATTGAAACATCACTTGGATAGTTTCCCCTTCACGTAGCGATTGTGATGCGTGTTTGCATGAAGATGGGTCGGGANCCCATCTCCAGGTCAACGCACCTCTTCTTTTCATTCCATCTCCTCCTCCTCGTCTTCCCCCAACTCCATTGTCCACGCAGTGAAAGGGGTCAGTCAGATCCCGTCACAATGACGGACTCGCGGTTATCCCTGGACACCCCCCGCCACAGCGTCCACCGCGCCCCCCCCCCCACCCCCACGCACCCGTCCACCGATGTAGAAATGTAAACACATCTGTACTCGTCCATTCTCTCGTCCGAGTGGCTCCCCCCCCCCCTCCCCCATGTCACCAACCCCCACTTCCATTGTTCGACGTGGACATTCCGTTATCAACATAATCTTTCACTTGGGAAGACATCATTCAATGTAATCACGTGAAACTCGTCTCGTGGGAAACACAGTGGTTCCCAAGCTTCTCTTCTGGGTTTTTCCGCGTCGTCCTCTTTTAAGGAGAGCTCCAACGGGTGGGATCACCTTTGTTGATTCACGACTGAGCTGTGGTGGGACTTTGCCCCAAGGTTTGAACAAATGTCCCACAGTGCCTTGTGACAAAACAACAAAATCTCATTGTGGAGCTAAGTTTGTCTGGCATGGCGTCAAAGCTCTGAATTGATTCGTTTGGAAATAACCATAATTTAACATAAGACCCAGCACGATTTTATTTTTGTTTGCATAAAAAAAAAAACATTCCGTGAATGAAAGTATTGAACAACCTCTTAAAGAATTTACTGATGATTTTAATGAACTCATCGATTAACATATTGATTGATTTATTGATGAAATTTTAAACGAACTTATTGATGATATTATCAATATATGTATCGCTGACAATTATTAATAAACTTATTGATGATAACAAAGTGTTGAATCATTTCAAGCAAGAAGTTAACAAAATGAAGAGTGCGTACTTACGTATGAAAAGAATACTTTAGAATACGTTAAATGTTAAATCACTCGTCCCATTTAGCATTTGTTCGGTTAAACAAAATTTGAATTTGAAATTTTAAAAAACCTATGACAACAAAGTTGTTCGTATCAATCCGTTCTAAAATGTAATATCGAACAATTTGGGGGGGGGGGGGGGGGGGGCTGTAAATGTGTCAAAACATGCTTACAAGTAACGCACGTTATAAAAATCCCAATTAGTGAATCCTAATCCCATCTATGTTTTCTCGTGTAAATGTAGTCACGAAGACTGCTACAACATTCGTGCTGTGTAAATGTAGTCATTGGGACTGCTACAACATCCTTGTTGTGTAAATGTAGTCATTAGGACTGCTACAACATCCTTGTTGTGTAAATGTAGTCATTGGGACTGCTACAACATCCTTGTTGTGTAAATGTAGTCATTAGGACTGCTACAACATCCTTGTTGTATTAATGTAGTCACTAGGACTGCTACACCAACCTTGTTGTGTAAATGTAGTCATTAGGACTGCTACAACATCCTTAAGAAGTATACAAGTATTTAATATTGCATCAAGACTCCAACAAACAATGGAATCTTCTAGAAGAAGAAGATGTCACAATTACTTTAGATCGAAAGTGCCACTAGCACTTGCAGCCTTGCTTCAGAAAGGAAAAATATGAATCATGACCCACAAGAACAAATGCTACATGTAGACTCTTCGGGTCTTGAGGCTGTACTTCTGCACAGTGGAAAACGACTTCTATCTTTTCCTGTAGCGCATGCTGTCCACATGAAAGAGACGTACGATGATCCAGAGAGGCTTCTGAATTCCATTGAGTATAGCAAGTTCGGCCGTCACCTTTGGGGTGATTGGAAGGTAGTTGACATTTTAATGGGACTGCAACAGGGATATACAAATAAAACGTGTTTCTGATGTGAGTGGGACAGCCGAGCAAGGGGATTACATTACTTGTGAGAGGAATGACTCGAAGATACAATGTAGCAGTCGAAGAGACGAATATCCAGCGCCCAGCTCTGGTTGAGGCTTACAAAGGCCTCCTACCACCCTTCTTCACATCAAGCTAGGTTTGATGAATAACTTCGTGAAAGACATAGACCGGACTTCGTCAGCTTTTCGATACCTGCATGAACGATGTCCTCGACTCATTAAAGTAAGATTAAAGAGGGAGTTTTTGAAGGTCCTCAGATTCGAGAGCTCTTCAAAGACAACCGACTCAACAAGTTACTGCAGAATGATGCGAGATATGCATGGACTCCTTTTCGCCTATGTGTCTACAACTTTCTCGGGAATGTTAGGGCAGAAAACTACAAGAGACTAGTACCAAACATGCTGATGGAGTACCAGAGACTTAGCTGCATCATGCCTCTAAGGATCCACTTCTTTCATTCCCATGCGTGCGTGCATGCGTGCGTGCGTGCGTGTGTGTGTGTGTGTGTGTGACCACTGCTGGCTGACTACTGCTGGCTGACTATTGCTGGTTGACTACTGCTGCTGGCAGACTACTACTGCTGGCTTACTACTGCTGGCTGACTACTGCTGCTGGCAGACTACTACTGCTGGCTGACTACTGCTGTGGGCAGACTACTGCTGCTGACTGACTACTGCTTGCTAATACTGCTGGCTGACTACTGCTTCTGGCTGACTACTGCTGCTGACTGACTGCTGCTTACTAATACTGCTGGCTGACTACTGCTTACTAATACTGCTGGACCGACTGATGACGACGACCGACTGATGACGACGACCGAGACTACAGCTGGCTGAGTACTGCTGGCTGAGTACTGCTGGCTGACTACTACCGCTGGCTTGCTACTGCTGCTGGCTGACTACTGCTGCTGGTTGACTACTGCTTACTAATACTGCTGGCTGACTACTGCTTACTAATACTGCTGGCTGACTACTGCCGCTGGCTGACTTCTGCTGCTGGCTGAATACTGTTTACTAATACTGCTGGCTGACTACAGCTGTTGGCTGACTACTGCTGCTGGCTGACTAATGCTGTTGGCTGATTAATGCTGCTGGCTGACTAATGCTACTGGCTGACTACTGCTTACTCATACTTCTGACTGACTACTGCTGACTGACTACTGCTGGCTGAATACTGCTGCTGCAGACTACTGCTTACTGATACTGCTGGCTGACTACTGCTGCTGGAAGACTGCTGCTGGCTGACATAATGTTGGACAAGCCCCAAAGATGCCCCCGAACAGCTGTACATGAGACAGGCAAAGAAATCTAAGAAGTTATCTATGATCTTATTACAGGTATTTAAAGTAGGCCTATTTCTATTGGCAGGCATTTCGTGACGTAAGCATTAATTTAATTCAGATTACAAAAAAATGTGAGCCTATTTTGTAATTTGACTGTCATATTCGTGCTGAGGACATTTTAATTGATAAGAAATGACTAATTGTATTTAAGCAATATGAATTTTGTAAAAAAAAATTGGTGACCAGTGATCGCTTACAACAAAACCATTATTAGACTCAAATTTAATTTTAACTTAGATCTTAAATCGTTTTTCAATCATAACCTTGGGGAGTACTTATATCTCGTATTCGATTACCTCACATTTCAAATCATATTGAACTAATCGATCCTCGTGCCCTCTAAACATTTACATTTAATATACCGTAAATTATGTAAACAACTGAAATACTTCAGTAAACAGCGCAATCGCTCACATATTAGGTCACATATTAGGTCACATATTTGTAGTCTCAAACGGTGGAAAACTTTCTTCTTTCATCGGGAATAGCCTATTACGGGAATGGTTGCTATTTATAGATGCCGTGTCGTCGCGTTTGACCTCCGTGTGTTTTAAACCTGTGCACGCGTCGCCATCTTTGACCGTGACATCTCGCGCAGATTGTTCGGTAACAAACACTTCCATTTCCGGGTTGAACGATTTGTTCTCCAACCCGACAGGATGTCCTTCGGACGCCTGGAAACTTGGATCACTTCCGGTTTGAGTGGCCGCGTCTGCAAAGCTGGGACGCGTCGTCTGCACCTGCGGACTGAGGTCGAGCTGGATGTGGAGCTGGTCCGTGATGGTGATCCCTTCCCTCGTCTCGGTCAGCGCAGGCAGCATGCTGGCCAGCCGGGCGTTGAAGCTGAAGTCGAACCGCTTCAGCCTGCTGGGGCTGAGCACGGGGCTCAGGGGCGGCGCCTCGACAAAGGACGAAAATCGGCGCCCCATGCTGACGAAGGGCGCGACGATGTTGGGTACGTCAGATCTCTTCTTGCCCTCGGCCCACGGCTGCAAGGACGCCTGGCCAAGTGTGACGAAGATAACGGCTGAAGCTGTGAACAAGATCGCCATGATGATCCAGACCACTCGCCACTCCTCAAAGGAATTCTGAAAATGGGAGAAACAAAAAACAAGGGGAACAAATGTCTTCATCAATAGTATGCCACATTTATAGATTGAGTCTAAGTGGTCATTAATTAAAAATATATCTTTATGGAAAATGGAAGCTACACAAATAATAATCGACAAACAAATTAAACATGGATAGAACAAAATTATCGATTGTTCCAAGGTGAACGGGACAAAGTGACAATGACAGACGAAAGTGACAATGACAGATTAAATGTGACAGTGACAGTATTAAAGTGAAGTACTAGGGATTTCATACCATTGTGGGAACAAGCATAATTAATTGCGCTGGGTTTGGGACTATACTCAACTAACCGTGGGAACAATCATGGCCACCAACAGTGGTCCTGAGATTGCTATCAGCATGCCGAATGAGAAGTTGAAGCCTGTGATGACCCCGGCAAACCTGATAAAGGAGATATATTCAATAGACGCGGCTTTCATTGCTAGACTTGATGGAAACTTGACATTAACTGCAAACTTGATATTAACTGCAAACTTGTGAAGTTTCAATCGACTATTTCCAGCCTATGTATTGTGTGTTGGTCAGCTATGGATGTCTTCGCTACTGCGTGTCAGTCAGCTATGGATGCCTTCGCTATTGTGTGTCGGTCAGCAATTAGTGTCTTCGCTATTGTGTGTCGGTCAGATATGGACGTATTCGCTATTGTGTGTCGGTGACATATGGACGTCTTCGCTATTGTTTGTCGGTCAGATATGGATGTCTTCGCTATTGAGTGTCGGTCAGATATGGACGTCTTGCCTATTGTGTGTCGGTCAGCTATGGTTGGCTTCGCTATTGTGTGTCGGTCAGCTATGGTTGGCTTCGCTATTGTGTGTCGGTCAGCTATGGTTGGCTTCGCTATTGTGTGTCGATCAGCTATGGTTGGCTTCGCTATTGTGTGTCGGTCAGCTATAAAATGTTTAGTTATACTTTAGTTCTCTAGACTGATACTTTGATGTAGCAGTGAGTGTTGTAGCAGTGTGTGGTGTAGCAGTGTGTGGTGTAGCAGTGTGTGGTGTAGCAGTGTGTGGTGTAGTTATACCTTGGCGCCATGTCCAAGGGGATCACCGTGATAATGGAAGATCCCACCGATTGTGCCATCATAAGGAAGACCAACACTCCAATGGCGACACCCCTGAACTCGTAATCAAAGAAGGAGATGGCTAGGTTGGTTACTCCGGCCAATAGGAAACCTGAAAATAAGCGCAATTTTAATAGATTTATAGTCTAATAAACTGACTCACTGGACTGATATAATAGTCTCATTAGCTGCAAGCCACCCGAGAGACTGTTAAGCAACAAAATGTCTGACTGACTATTGACCAACTGACAGATTTGTTAGCTGCTTGCTAACTGAAAGACTAGTTAGCTACTGGCTAAGTGACAGACTAGTTAGCTACTGGCTAACTGAAAGACTAGTTAGCTACTGGCTAACTGACATAGTTACTAGCAAATGACTGGCAGACTAGTGAGCAACTGACTGACTGAAAGACTAGTGAGCAACTTGCCTACTGACAAACTAAGTGACCCCCAACGATAAAATTATGTTCGTTGTGTTCGTTGATACTTAATAAATATGTTTTCCAATGGTCTTAGGCGAGCCCTGTGTTTGGGTCGTTCGACCTCCAAAGCTGTTGTGACCCATATGTTGAAAACCGCTGCAATAAGTGAATTACTGGCTACTAACTATATGTATGATTATTTGTCACCCTCACTGGCAGAGGGCACATACCAGCTATAGATATCAGCATTATTATGAGATCATCTTTAAAATATTTAAATATTTTTTTAGTTTCTAAATATAGCGCCGTGCTTGAAGAAGGCATCTAGCAGAAACGTCGTTTCAAATGTCCTGTCATTTCATTTGAAACCTTTACATAATGTGTTCCAACATTTTCTCCACACGGCTTGACCTAGTCCCTCATTACATGGCTTGACCTAGTCCCTCATCATACGGCTTGACCTAATCCCTCATTAAATGGCTTGACCTAGTCCCTCATCATACGGCTTGACCTAGTCCCTCATCATACGGCTTGACCTAATCCCTCATTACATGGTTTGATCTAGTCCCTTATCATACGGCTTGACCTAGTCACCCATCACACGGCTTGACCTAGTCCCTCATCACATGGCTTGACCTATTCCTTCACACGGCTTGACCTATTCCTTCAAACGGCTTGACCTAATCCCTCATCACACGGCTTGACCTAGTCCCTGATCACACGGCTTGACCTAGTCCCTCACACGGCTTGACCTAGTCCCTCATCACACAGCTTGACCTAGTTCCTCACACGGCTTGATCTAGTCCCTCATATACTATACTTAGATTAAATCATTTAACAACTTTAAACTCACCCAAAAAGATGCATATTTTTCTGACTTTGTTTTTGGTCATTGAGGGGCGTGTCAGCAGAAAGTTGCCCAGCCCCGTCCACAGGAACACGCCCACGAACCTGGCAGACGATATGATGGCAAACACGACACCTGTCTGGGAGGAGCAGTGGATACAACAAACGTTTAGGGCGACCCGGAAATACAAGAACTAACGGGAAAATAAAAGGACAAATCTGGAAGAAGCCGTCGATAAATTAGGTCATGCTATTTTTTATTTGAAAATAATACCGCCTCACCCCCCCCCCCCCCCAAAAAAAAAA